TGATCCTCCTGTTTTCAGCCTCCCCAGTGCTGGGATTACAGGCATGCGCCACTACGCCCAGACGTGGGGTGGCTGGCTCAGTGCATCTGAGGGTGGGCTGGTGCGGCATGTGGTGCCAGGGATCGAACCCTGATCCCTGTACTTGCCTAAACAGGTGCTTAGGCCACTTAGATACCTCCCTGGCCCTTGTTCTCTGATTTTCTTTTACATTTCCAAGCTTGACCTGATGTTTGATTAATCAGTTGCTGAATTAACCAGCTGCCTGAAGGAGCTCTTTTTGTATTGCCAGGCTGCTCTCACTGCCTATTCATGATAACTAAATCAGGACAGAGCTCTGACAAACCTTGGAAAGTTGTCATCTCAGCCTTTCCTTGGGAAACCTCAAGATTTCAAACTGCATCTTCATCAACTTTTTATTAAAAATCTTTGAGACTTGCTTGTGTGTAGGTCAGTGGCACAGCGGTTGTCTAGCAAGCACATGACACTGGCTTCCATCCCTAACACCCCCCATTTTTTTAGGGGGAGGTCTGTGTGACCCACAGCCACAGTTTCCCAGAATCTAAATTTCCATTTAGAGGTAGGTGGGGAAAGGGGAGGAGAGGCTAGAGGAGCGGAGGATCTGATCCATCCCAGAAAAGTCTGACTCTTGAACAGCTCTGCCCCAGATGTTGACTCTGGTTCTTCTAATTTGTACATTACAAATGGGATACACTTTGAAAGCAATCCAAGGTACTGTTTAACCAGGATGAAATAAAAAGAGAAGGGTAGCTTCTGAGCTCCCATCTCCTCTAAGTAGGCCTTTAAAACTTGATGTGCTGGGGTTGGGGAGATAGCTCAGTGGTACAAGCAACTGCCTGGCAAGCCTGGCAAGTACAAAGTTCTGAGTTTGATCCTTGGCATGTCCTCCCCTCCAACCCCCCTGGAAAAAACCCACACAAACTTGATTTGTGTTGAATAATGAGATGGTGGTATCTAAGGGACAAAGCCTGAAGGCATCAATGGAGCCAACATCCCTGCTTTAGGTCTCTGGTACTCTCAAGAGAGGTCTAGGCTCTGAGGAGAGAGGACTCACTATGTGGAGCCTCTGCACCACTGCTACCTCGGGAGTCACCTTTTAGAGGCGGACCATGATAACCAAGTGGATCTAAACCCTATTTCTACAAATAGTTTTTCCTTTTACTTTACCCTTGTAAACTTCTGCTCTTAAACA